AATGACATAAAGCACCAACCAAAAACTCTATAAAAGTTAAAAAAATAAACATAAAACCAATACACCTTAACTAGAACAATAACAAAAATACACACACCATAAACACATTCAAAGATATATTGGGGAAAATATTTATAACTTATATCTTGGGCAAATGGCAATCTATATGTGTGTGTCCCCATTCCCTAAAAATCACATGAGAAAAAGTTCCCTGGTAGAAAATAATAGGCACAGACATAGACAGGTAATTCAAAGAAATACAAATGAGCCCTGGCTGGTGTAGCTCAGTGGATTGAGCATTGGCTATGAACCAAAATGTCATTGGTTTGATTCCCAGGCAGGGCACGTGCTGGGTTGTGGACGAGGTCCCCAGTGGGGGCCACGTGAGAGACAACAACACATTGATGTTTCTCTTCCTCTCTTTCTTTCTCCCTTCCCTTCTCTAAAAACAAGTAAAATCTTTATTAAAAAAAAAGTACAAATGATTGAAATATACAAATATAGGCTAAGCCTTACTAAATTCAAATTAAAGCAGAATACCTTTTTTGCCTGTTTTATGAAAAATAAGGATTCGTAATATTCAAATCTTTTACAAAATACTCAAACTATTACAAAATATAAGAGCATGTTAATAACTATAAGGATGCACCACTGTAAAATTGCTTAACAAAAATGCTCATTTCCCCTCTATTCCAAACTCCCTGTGTGAATGGTCCAGGATCAGGGGTGTCCAACTTGTGGCCCGTGGGCCACATGCAGCCCAGGACGGCTGTGAATGCAGTCCAATACAAAACTGTGAATCTACTTAAAACATCGAGACTTTTTGTGATTATGTGTTGCAATGTATTTAATGTGTGGCCCAGAGACACCAAGAGGTTGGACACCCCTGCTCCAGGTCAATTTGGACAGTTTTGCAAAAGGGGACTTTGCTCTGGGCCCTGTGACTCAGCATCCTTCACAAGCTCTGAGCTCCTGTCAGGCGTCATGTGTGTTTGCTGTGTGTGTGGTGGGGAGGAGCAGAGGTTGGTGGCTGCCTTCCTCCTCTGAGAGCTTTTGAGACTTGCTCCACGAGGCCAGCCGGCCCTTCTGATTTATGCCCTGCCTTACCTATGATGATTGTGGCTGTATTGTCCCAACAAGGGGCAGATATTTCTTGTGTGAATGGGGATGTTATTCTCACTTTGCACATTCCCCCTTTCTTATTATTAGCCTCCTCTCTTCTGGGAATGTGTGTTCAACAGCAAATGAGACTGCGGTCTAAATTTGCAGGGATTATAGCCTGAAGAGCTCAGAGAAGGCACTGTTGAAAAATACAGTTTTGTATTTATGCTATAAATTTCAAAAGGTAAATTTCACATGGTTAGTAAGTGAATTAAGGTTCATGTTTCCCTGCCCACTCTGGGCAGGGCTCGTATTTGTCTTCATCATCAATGAAGCACAGTAACACCCTGTGACAGTCACAGAAAACCTCCAGAGTATGCACTCTCAGGAGTCATAATGTAACCGGCATTAAATAAACAGTACTAGGGGACTGCATAGGCAAGATAATCTACATTGTTGCAGTACAAACCAATTCCCAAGAACTCTCGTTTTCATCAAAATTAAAGATGTGGGGAAGACCAAACATTACACAAATGTAGGCAGATCAATAGTCTTACATATTCTACATATAAATAGCTCTTGTACCTTCCCCCTATTTCTCTACTTCTGTTCTTCACACAGAAACTCTTCTGGCTTTATGACACAAGTTGCTTCCCCTTTTTCACACGTCCTTCCCCTTGTCCCCTAAATCTGATGGTCAAATGAATCTTCCTGAATTCAAGTTCTATTTGTTACTCTCCTGCTTTAAAAAAAATAATTAAAAAGATTTCTCACCCGAGGATAAGTTCATTGAATTTAGAGAGAGGAAGAAAGAGAAACATTGGATTGGTTGCCTCCTGTACACACCCTGCCAGGGGATCAAACCTGCAACCTTCTGGCGCACAGAATAACACTCCGACCAACTGAGCCACCCAGGCGGGGCTCTCTGCTTTCAACAAAACCGCACTGGAACTAAGAGGGAATTCCGTACCCTACTTTCCATGATCTAGCCCCACCCTGCTTCCCTAAGTGACTTCCCACTAGTGCTTTTGGCCATTGTTACAATTACCTTTAAATATTCTTGCACAGCCCTGACCAGTGTGGCTCAGTTGGACGGGCATTGTCCCAGAAAGTGCAAGGTTGCCGTTTTGATTCCTGGTTAGGACACATATCTGGGTTGTGGGTTTGGTTCCCAGTCGGGGTGCAGCCAATCAACATTCCCTCATGCTGATGTAGTCATGTTTTCCCTCAGTACATGTAAATTAGGATTGAACCAGTGAATAATGGAATAAATATGCTCAAATCACTTGCTGCTGGGAGAAGGGACCAATCAACACTACAACTGCTGAGTGCTTACTATATACAAAGCATTTCTCTGGGTGTTGGGGAGGTAGCATTCAACATGACAAAGTCTCTGCCTTCAGAGAACTCATATTCTAGTGGAAAAGACAACACACTAAATATAAAATTAATGGTAAATGCTGTGAAGAAGTTAACAGAGTTAAGAGAACAGCAGCAGCTCAAGGTTGCTGTTTCAGAAAAGGGTAGAGTGGGGAGATATGTGGGAATCTTCAAGGCTGTGGTAACTGGATTTGTGATGGGAAACCTACCGAGTCTTTTCTAAAAGCATTGCCAATGGACCATAGGGTCATCAGTTCTCTTTCTGGGTCTATGGCAGACTCCCACTTGCCTCTAAATAGTCACCCTCCCCTTCCTGATAACAGCGGCAGCAGTCTGAAAGGGTACAGAGGCACACAGCTGAAGATGACATATTCGAGCCTCTCTTGCAGGCCATGGGAATAAGTTCAGGACAAGAGCAAAAGTAACCTGTGCCTCTTGAAGACATGATCTTAGAAGTGGTCAAGTTTTTTTCCCTTTGCACCTTTCTCTCTTCCTGTTTGGATACAGATGTGTTGGCGAGAGCTGATGGAGCCACCTTGTACATAAGGAACCCATTAGCTGAGGATAGCAGAGCAACAAAATTGAGGAGTTGGTATATCAACCCCAGGTTGCTTATGCTGTTAAGAGAATAAACTTCTATCTTGCGTAAGTTATATTTGGGTTTTTGTTATGGCAGGAGTCTGTACCCTAACTAAGAGGCATATCAGAGAAGCAATATTAACCCACAAGGAAGGTGACTACATCACCAGGAACTGTTTATGGTACAGCTTCAACCATTCAAAAGGCAGCATGGTATTCTAGAAAAAGAAACTGAACCTGGGTTTTCACCCCACCTCTGCCCATCACTAGTAGTACAAGCTTGAAAAAGTCCTAAGATTGCTAAGTTCCTGTTTTTCCACCTACAGACAGGGATGTTGTATATAATCATGTGAAAATACTCAAAGTAAAATACTACATAAACATTGTTATAGCATTTAGTTTATCATAAACGTATTCACGCTTATTGAGGCTAGCCTTAATCATTCAAATCATTCCTTTTTATGACTTATGACTAAAAAGGGGGATCCAGGCCACTTGGAAGATCCTTCCCAAGACTAGTATCTAATATATGAAGGTCAAGAATGAAACATGCCAGAGAGATCACTGGAACTAAGATTCTAAATAATATGAAAATAATTTAAAATGTATTATAACATTCACTGGACAGTTTACCCCAAATCTTTCTTTACAAATATTCCTGAGTATTTGGTAGCAATGACTACATGCTCACCTGTCCCTTGGGTCTCAAACACGTGGACCTGAATACTGAGAGTATGTAAGCGTGCTCCTGAAAAGCAAAATGAGTTTACTAACGGGTGGTGGGAGGAGAACATCTCTTGTGTTTCTAACTTGCTTAGAAAACAGCCACCTTACGTTACAGCCTCTCGGACGAAGGCAGGGACCACAGACCCAGAGCGGTTTTTAGGCTGCTCTTGGTTTCAACAAGTCCTCTTGAACACAGTTCTTAGAAGCTAAACAGTGTAGCCCTTTCTTTTTGGGGTTAAAAAAAAAACACCCCAAATCTTCCAGTCATTCTCCAAAATCTTTTTTTGGAGCAATGAGTGAATAGTTACATTTTAACGTTAAAAAAAAATTCACTACCCCCAACTTTCCCAAAATGTCAAATCTCCCAAATGTACAAATTTTATTAATCACGAGTTTTCAGAAAATATATGGTATGACTACAAAGTAATGAGATGGGCTGGTGTAAGCATCTTTTGGGGCAGCTCATCTGGCTAACGAAGGAGACAAGATGTGTGGAAATAATGGTCTGTACTGCGCAAGGCTCACTCAGGGCCTACAGGTGTCCACATCCTTTGAACAATGGAATAGAATAGAATAAAAAATCTCCACATGAACTTAGAATGCTCAGACCTTGATGTATAAAAATGCATGGTCTGTTATATTTTTCAAGATTTAAAATATCAGACAGATCTCAATAAAGCTGAGAAAACATGTAAAAGAAAGAAACATCTATAAACTGCTGTGATGCCCCAATAGGCTCTTGACCTCATCTGACCCTCCCAACAACGCTGTTAGTTATTATCCTCATTTCACCAACGAGGACACTGAATGAAGTAACGTATCTGCAAGCGATAGTCTGCCTGACTTAGAAATATAGTTTAAAAATTAGTTTAGATGGGAGGTTAATGTAAGAAATAAGACAAAGTGACTAGTGGGAATGATTTTATTTTTTAACCAAAACTAGGGTTTCAACCTAAAAATATTTATCCTTGCTTCGTAACTTGGCTTCTTTAGATGGTTTAAACCCAACAAACCCTGTTCATTTGTTGACTGTCATTTTCTAGCAGGCAGACAAGGGACTAAATTTTCTATCCTTCTGAACATAGATGAACTGCCAAATATTGTTCTGTAAAGGTAGGAACTCAACAGACTTGCTTTTCAGTAAATCTGAAAACCAAGATGACTTTAAAAAGGTTCAAAATATAGAAACAGTTCTCACTTAAAATACCATACACTGAAAGAATATGAAAATTTGCTTTTATTATCAACAAGGTAGTATTTTCCCAGTTTTCAATTACACACACATACACATACAGACATGTACAACAGAAGGACAAAATTACATTTCCCACATAATAAAGATTCAAATCCCAAAGAAATAAGCACATGTTCAAAAGGCAAGTAGAAAGCAGCAAGAAATCTTTCCTCTTACTTGGAATATGGAAAACCTTTCCAAAGAGACTCTCTCCCTTAAGCAAATCAATGAAGGTTTCTGTCATTGAAAATGCTTGTTACCTTAAGGTCTTAAATATTTTATTCATCAAATCAGACTTTAAAGTTTTTACAATTGGAATGAAATTCAAAATCAACTTTTGCAGAAAATATATGAAGTTTTAAGTGGCAGAGACTAATGTACCAGACTTATTCTTTTATTAATATGTTGAAATGATGTATAATTTATCCTTCACAGCTCAAATTCAATACAAAACCAAAAATTAACCTTTTCCAGTAAAGAAATATAAATGCTAACAAACAAGGTATGGAATAATTGTTGGCACATGTAAAGTGAAATAAAATTGACCAATGCATTTTATTTTCAAACACACCTAATCTTCAAGCTTCTTTTTTCACACTGATACTCATTTTGCAGGAATAAGATGATTGGCACTAACTCAGACAATAAACATACTACACCAAGCACATGTTAGTGGAGATATTTCGGCAGAAAACAAAGTATTAGACAACAAACACTTTTGGTAACAATATCAACTTACCAAGTTTTTCAATGTTTGTATGTTCATATTGATAAAAATGTTATTTAAAAATATTTTCATAGTACATGCATTAGACTTAGTTTAAGAGGAGAAGTTTTTTAAAAAAATTTTTTACAAAGAAAAAATGTTTTTAAAGAGAAAATGTCCAAGGGAGAGGACATAAACTATGGTTCATTATTTTTTGACATAATAAGAATATAAATTTCAGTGGCTATTTAAGAACATACAAAACCCAAACTGAATGCAATTTTTCTAATATTTATTCAGGCTACCAAGTCAAAAAGAAATAATTTTGTTATTACTGGTACAAATCCAATCCACTGTTCAAACACATGTCCTTGTACTCATCCATTATCTTAAAAGTTTATTTTTTAAAAGGAATAGAATTTGGCACTGTTAATTGGTATAACTCAGATAAATAATTTCCTCATCTCATTCTTTCATGCTGAAAGAACCAGTTTAAATTAGATTTTCTAAGAAATGGGGTAGGAGCAACACTGTATGGAAAAACCTGTAAGCTTAAGTTCCAGAAACATTACGGTTTTACACAAATCAATGCTTGCCCTCACTCTTTACATAACACTGAGAAATTCTAAAATATAAATTGTAGAAATTAGTATATGAAATCTTAAGAAAAATCTTACTAAAATAATTATAAAAATGCTTTTAGAAATTTAAGATGTAAAATACAATTGACTTTAAATTAAAAAAACCCCACACTTTACAAGAGTCATTCCTTAAAAACCCTGTCACTTGATTTTAGTTTCTGTCAATCTTTTGGTTGCCTTTGCATCATCTGGAGGACCACCTGTGGCATTTCCAAGAAGGCCCACTACTGTTCCGGAGCCCCAGTACTTTTTGCCCTTTGAGATACCAATACAATTACAGCATCAAATTTCATGAAACTTTTTTAAAAGGCTTATAAAATTCCATTTCCTAGTGGTGATAAGGAAATCCTTTTTAACAGGAAGAAACAAACAGATTTGTCATAAATTATTATTGTACGTAAGACTAGCCTTTTCCATAACAATTTAAAAAAATTAAGCATAACACTGGGAGAAAACTATCACTTAAGTTCTAGAGTCTTCTTCAGACTGTAAAATAATTGACTCTGCAATTAAAGCTCAGGGTTACCACGTCAACTAAACTTCTCATGACCAGTAACACCTTCCACTATGACTAATTTGAAATAGTGCCTTGTAACTGGGGAACCCAATGACTGGTCAGAGTGCTAAGGACTGCAGCCAACAGAGACTGAGAAAGACTTAACTTTTACCACCAGGAGGTGATATTCCACAGAAAAAAGTTATTACGGTCTTCATTCATCAACCCATTTGTACTTAACAGCAGGTTTCAAAAACAACTGGTCTTTTAGCCTTAACGAACCTCCTTTTATTCGGATGAGCTGTAAAGAGAATTTAACAAAATCCAGAGTTCTCTGCTTTTACTTTTACTGAGAAGGCTGAGTGAACGTAATACGGCGCCGCCGTCTCTGGAAAGCTTTCAAGTTCCATCTGTTGGGTTCCAGCATATGAGGACCATTGTAGACGAACAATACTGTCATCTTTTCAGAATAAGGGAGATTTTGGAGGAGCTGTAAGGATTGAAACAAACTGTCATATAATGTTATATATATTAAAAGAAACACATTTTTCCAACTTTACATATGTAAAATTGTGTCATAATATCAATGAAACTCTGAGGAAACTCTCAAACAACTCATTATATACCCTGCCAGGCTGGGATCCTTACCTGAATTAGCACATCTGACGCCTGGCATAAGGAATGATTGACATGCTTAGGGAACCTCCCATAAGGGTAAGGGATCAGACGTCTTAGGTAAGACCCTGGGAGAAGTGTGTCCTCCAGAATTTTCCTAGGATAGACACTTTCACTCCTTTTTCCACAAACACTTCTCAAGCAACTCTCGTGGTCAGGCACTGTCATAGATTGGTAGCCTGAAAAGTGTGTAACAGGGAGGTTTGGTTGACAGGCCAAGATGTTTGGTGAACAATATGGTATTAACAGTTCTGGCTATGCCAGAGTGTCTGCTAGAACAAGGAGAGTATACTATTCAATAAAAAATAATCACTATACCTGACTGATTTTCAGATGGGCATGCTAATGACAGTTTTTTTGTGTGAATACTTAGTTTAAAAAATGTATCCGATTACATTAGTAAATACATCTTTGAAAACATCAATTTTATAATTCACCCACAGCAATGGTTCTTGCTTACAGAAGATTCTCTATAAAGATACTTCTGTTATCATCAGAGTTAATCTGTGAATAGATGTTGGGATACTTATGGTTTCCTCTGGGCCAGGGCAGTGGCAACGGTGACCAAAGAAGAGCACAGTGTTGCCAAAGACAGGCCTTTCTGAGAAATAAGGCCAGAGCTCTGGGGTTTGCATTCTCCTGTCACCCTTTAGTGCCAAAAGGGGAACTTCTCTAGGGGAGGAGTAAGTGCCGAAGCAGGAAGAAATCTCTGTTCCAGAACATAATGCCATGTCTCCTATGCTGCTTTCTCTGATAAGGAAGTTCCCGATTAAGTGTCTCACTGGAACTTGTCCTCTTTAGTAATATAAATATTACTCTAAGTTTTTACCTCCTTTTCTGGGAGTGTTCCTGTCCAGACTTACATATTGAGTCCCAATTTGCTACATAATTAAGCCACTTTCAGGTTACCTATTACCTACCTTTGGTGTAATAAAGAAGTACTGAGAAGTATTCTCTTTACAAGCAGTATTTACAACCATTTCAAATACTCTGCGTTCATTGATAGGGTCCATTCCCTAAACAATAAAATAATGATTTCATTAAACCTCTTCTAAGATACAAGATATGATAAAGCCCAAGCAAAAGAATAATCACTATACCTGATTGATTTCATCAACTACTCGGAATGGACATCTATTAAGTTCCTGAAGTGCCATCAGGTATAACATGGTGGAAACACTTCTTTCACCTCCACTCTGATGATGAGGCGTTAATTCATGCAGTTGTGTACTACTGCGGAATTTGACTCTAATTCGAATTCCATATTTATCATAGTCTTCCTATGAGACATTTAAAAGGTTGATGAAAGATGAAGAGCTTTCTCTGGTAATTTCATACTATTACTTAAAAAAAATAGATCAAATACATCAATTATAAGAGTAAAGAACTTAAAATTCAGCGATAATTTAAAGTAAGCCAATAAAATATTAAAAAAACAGTTGCTATTTACAAGTTTTAGTGAGTCTCTAAGGATCTATTTTGGTACGAAAAATTTTCAGATTAAGAGTTACATTTTTCCTCATTTCATACCATTCCTTTCAACTTGTATAGACTTTCAACTTGTATAGACTTTCCCAGTTTTTTTTAGAAACTACCCATCATGGAAAGGCACTATCCACTGTAGCTCCTAAATTGCTAGGTTTTAAAGCTATAGGTGGAAAGAATTGGACACAGTGGAGTGCCACGCCTCTTTCTGCCGGAGAAGCAGCTTCGTGTGTCACCACAGAGGGCCCAGAGCCCTCCTGCTTCTTCCGCTGGTTAAGAAAAAAGTAGGCAGAGACTATATGCATACTTAAAAAAATTATTTATATTAAATCCAATATATATACATAATACTTAGCAAAAACCTGACACATAACAAGTGTTCATGAAATATTTGTTCTTTAAATTCTGTCCAAAATGGGGCTGTTCCAAGGCTTACTTACTGCTCTCATTCATCATTTCTAGACTAGTCAGGTTCAGATTCACCCCCAGAATGAGATCCATAACTTGATAATTAAAGGTTAACTATTGAACAAATATAGCTTTAAGGTCTAAGACAGCACTGACCAAGAGATACAATGCAAGTCAATTATGCAATTGAAAATTTTCTAGGAGTCATGTTAAAAAGGAAAAATATGTGAAATTATTTTAATATATTTTATTTAATCTAATATATCCAACATATCTTTAATGAGTAATCAATATAAAATAAGATATTTTGCATTCTTTTTTTTTATTAAGTCTTCAAAATTTGTGCATTGTACACTTACAGCACATTTTACATGTTTTAATTGCTCAATAGACACATGTAGTTAGTGGCTACTATACTGGACACCAGAGGTCTAAGATTAACAGTGACAACTTCTATAAAAATATAAATATCTTAACCATAAATATAAGAATCCTGATAGCTATCAAATTTTTAAAATCCACCTTCAATCTTTTTGCCCTTCAAAACCAAAAAATGACAAATTTTAATGGTTTTGATTCATATGGTTTACCTTTTAAATTTATACAACACATTTATTTTATAGCAAATTTATTAACTACGGCATTTCTTAACTATACTAGCTTTGATTGCTAGAATTTTGTTTTTGGCTCTGCTACCCATTCTTTGCTCATTCTAGCTTCCTTCATCTCACCAAAAGCTCTGGCTAAAGAAAGTAGTTCTAGAACCATGATCAAGGAGCCCAGAATAGAAACATTCCAAGGTGGAAGCTGAGAAGAGGGAAGAATGTCCATTTTCTTGAGCCTATGGCTAGGTAGGGCAATTTAACTGAAAAGGTTAAGAATCACTGTTATGGTAGTGAGCTATTATTTAAAACACAGAAAAATTATCCAGAAGAAACAGCACGTGATAAAGTTATAGCACCATGCGATAGGATTTAAGATTAAAGAATGGGCTTTCTATGACAGGTCAAATTCCATAGGCTTCTCTATTCTTACTTGATCATATTTATGCCTTATCTAGTCAAGGTGTTGAATAAAGATACTTTTGTTAGATCAGAGTTTGACAAAGCTTTCAGTAATCAAATTTTCATCCCATAAAAACTATGCCACATCCACTGAAGAGGCAGTAATTAAGAGCTTAGGCTCTGGGATCAGGTCTGGGGTTTGATTTTTTGCTTTGCCAACTGGTAGCTGTGTGGCCTTTAGTGAAGTTTCTGTAAGTTTCAGTTCTTTATTTGTACAACAGGGTTGATAAAAGTACCTGCTTCATAGAATGGTTGTGAGGATTAAACAAGATAACAGACTTAAAATTGTTTGGTTCAGTGCCCAACACACAGGAAATATATGACAAATTATGCCCCTTGACGCACACAAGCCCAGAGACTTGGTAGATGACAATTACTGTGGCAGGGCCCCCATCTTACTAGAACTTGAAAGAAATGAAATCTGCTCACACCAAATATAAATAGATGGGAGTCATAGAGCAGAGTTCCTGAGGTGAGAAAAAGGCCCTTACTCTGGCTTTGTATTTATGTGACACACAAGTAAAATTGCACAGAAGCTAAAATGCAAAAATGTAAAATGTTGAACTATGAAGGCAACATTTTTTATCTTCATTTCTTTCCTTCTTAAAAAAGAACTTAGGGAAAAATTTGAACGTCTACAAAATTAGAACACTAAAATAAGCTCAAATGTATCATTAATTAGTCTCAACTATGATCAATACATGACCATTCTAATGTTTCACCAATGACTCCACCAAACTCCTCTTTCATTATTTTCTTTACATATTTCTTAATGGTAATTTTATTTTACCCACAATTGCAATGCATAAACTTATAGCTCAAGAATTTAGCAGCAAATTTTCAAATATTTTCATTCTTGTGAACTGTTAAATTCTTGATTAAAAGGAAACCATTGGTATTATACTTTATTTCAGTTATGTCTGCCAATTTATAACTCTTCTAACTTAGACAGTGGTAGAGTTATAAAGCAATGCAATGCATTTGCTCATCACAGCTGAATAACCATTACTAAGTCTGGATATAAAAAGAGTAAAGTATTAGTCACCAGTCTCAAATGTCACACACATACAAAAAAGTGACCCTGATGCAATCCCTCCTGTGTTCTTTTCCATCCTTTGAACAATTTTTTACTAAGCAAAATTTTCACACGTAAGTCTAGGGTAAATAAATTATACACATATAATTAAAATTACTTGCCAGGAAACATTTAAAATGCAAGCATACCTCATTTTCTGTGTGGAGATCAACTTCACCAGCACACTGCATGGAACTAAAAAAATGGCTGAATTTTTCATTAATTTTTTCTACCAGCTCTTTTAAAGGATTAAGCCACCTCTCTTTCACCTGCAAATACAGGCAAAATAAAAACACAATTTAAAAGAAGTGTTACTACATTCTGATGTACAATTTTACATAAAACAAGTTTGGTACAAGTATTAATCTAGTCATGAGAACATATGTTGCACTTTTTCTTAGAAGTGTATCATTTCATTTTGTATTATTCTACATTCCCATACGAGTAAGAACGTGACAAAAAGAAAAAATAGAGACTAAATAATTACCTGTGAAATGCTCTCCCTATACTTATCCAGTTCAACTTTCTTTATCTTTAGTTCCTCAGTTAATTGTTCTATCTCTTCTTCTCTTTTTGTGTATTCTGCAACAACCTAGTAGGGGAAAATTATTTAAGATAAATCTAGCAAAGGATAAAATTACAGGAAATCTGCATCAATGAAGACATTAACTGAAAATGCCAATGTGTTGCATTGTTTGTATATTCTTGTAACATACTGAAAATGTTACTTTTTATTCTTGAAAAAAAAATAGACACTGCAGTATTTCAGGTTAGTTCAACTATTCTTTTTATAAAGAAAAGGCACAGAACACTGTGTTCCTTAGGAAGAATCTATTTAAAATTCTAATAGATTCAGAAACCTGGCATTTAAAGCACATTGTTCCTGCTGTCTAGCTTATTATTACCAAGAGCTCTAGTACAGAGTGGGAGGCAAGTACTGGAGGGAACTGTGAGTGTGTGTATGGGGAGGGTGGTAGTGGTTGCTGTAGGCAATAGGGGAAGAACATACTGTAGGATTCAATCCCGTGAAGCAAGAAGCTCTTGATCTTTCTTCAGTTAATAAAGCATCAATTTCATCCAATGTGTTTGGAAGATCCTGGAAAGCCTAAAGAAGAAAAAAATTGTCCATCATTGTAGATAGTACAGTGAAAACAGTCAAATTTCAATAGTTAAAAGAAAAATATTCTGCTGGGTATCTACTACTATGTGTTCGACAGCATGCTAACACACAAGGAATCAAAGAAATTATAAATAGGATTTTTGCTTTCAAAAAGCTTACACTATACTCTAAAAGGTAACAAAATATATACACTTAACACCAGATAATACCTTAAGGCAGTGTATTGATGTTGAGTATTAAAATAAGCAGTACATATATAGGATATGGAATTTAGAGCAGGAAGTATCAGTTCATGCTACAGGAGCTAAAGAGAGTAAGAGTCAGAGGCCCAGAATTCATCTCTGGACCTTAAAGCAAATGGCTAAGAAAAAGCAAAGCAGAGGGGAGATAGGAGCTTGGAAAAAAGAATGAGCACTGCATACCATGGGGGGTGAGGAGTTGTGTCCATTTGGAATGGTGGGTACTTGCTGAATTGGTAGAATGGGTCCAGAATATGTGGGGCATTGAAAGAGAGCAAGAAGTTAGAACTTTATACTGTACTTATAAAAGCATCCTAAGAATCCAATTATTTTGACAGGAGAAATTCACCACAGTACTATCTTCTGGGTCCACGCCATAAGAGACAAATGAGAACAAATACTTTCCTATGAGGGGAAGCAAGGAGCACACAGTTTTGCCAGCACAACCTGCAAAGTTCATATACTACAAGGTACAAAACAGATATAAATGTCAGGCATTGAACAAGACACGTATAGCGACAACATTACATTAATATCTTAAGCTTTTAAAACTTTTTAGAAGCCCTGGCTGGCATAGCTCAGTGGATTGAGCATGGGCTGCGAACCAAAGCATCGCAGGTTCAATTCCCAGTCAGGGCACATGCCTGGGTTGCAGGCCATGGCCCCCAGCAACTGCATATTGATGTTTCTCTCTCTCTCTCTCTCCTTCTCCCTCCCTTCCCTCTCTAAAAATGAATAAATAAAATCTTAAAAAGAAAACTTTTTAGAAAGTAGTTCAATTTCTATAGGACTTTAGGTATTTATCAAGTACATATTGTTCAATCTGTCCACTGAATTGTGAATTTGTGTGCCCAAAACTTGTTTAGTATCATCACCTGCTTTCTAACAGGCACCTTAAATTCATTAAGGTCTTCATTTCAACTATATTCCCACCAGTTTGAACAAACCTGTTTCTCCTGTTCGATCACCGATCGCTTCAGTACATGGCTAAATTTAGGGGTTCTCTCTCTTACCCTTCAGATCCACTAGCATGCCCTGTGGGCTCTGTCTTTAAATGATACCTCAAATCTAGAAACTTCTCTCTTTCCTCCCTAATCCATACCACTATTAGTCTCTTGTCTGGTCCAAGGCACTAATCTTCTGGATGGTCTTCTTGCTTCCAATCTTGTATCCCTACTTTATTTTCCATACATTGGGTTGGCCAAAAAGTCTACTTAGTTTTTCCATAAAATAAGACACATTTTTCATTTTCACCAATAATATTATTGATTTGGATATCTTGAGTATGTCATCTATCTCTCAGTATTGGCTTCTAGTGGGTAGAGACCAGGGGTGCTGGTTAAACATCTTCCAGTGCATAAGACAGCCTCGCAGCAACAAACTGTTTGGCCAAAATGTCAATGATACCAATGGTACCAAGATACTTTGAAAACCACTTCTGACACGTTTGATCAGTCACAGCACCTTCTTTATACAATGCACAATTTTCCCCCGTTTCAATCGAGTTTTTACCTTTCTTGAAATAATAAAAGCACAACACACCAAAAATGTTGCATATGTTCTTCTTTCTTCAATATTAAAATGGCTGCACAAAAATTTGCCATTTTGATATGTTTTTTAAAAAATGCAAGTTGATATGACAGCTCTCATAATCTAACAAAACTGTTTTGAATGAAGTCAAAAACAACTAAGCACTACTCGAGCCACTGTGTGGAAAACACGTAACAGACTTTCTGGCCAATCCAACAGAAATGAAATGTTCTTTTATTTTTCTCAATTAATAGTTTAAGGTTCCTTAAGTAATACTAATAGAAAACTGCCAGTTCTGATGAAATGAGAAAGTTCTTTGAAATTCATTTTATTTTATTAAAAAGCTTTTTTCAATTAGTTTACTTCTAATATTTTGTATTAGTTTCAGGTGTACAGCATAGTGGCTAGACAATCATATGCTTTACAAAGGGTTCCCCTGATATTTCTAGTAGTTAGTTACTGCTATCATTGCTATCTATGTTTAAAATCCTCCAATGGATTCCATCTCAAAATACTAGTAAAACCCAAACTCCTTCTATGGTCTATAAGGTCATACAGGATCTAACTTTTGCCTTCCTTTCTGCTTGGGTTATAATTTTTAGTGCCACTGAGATTACTGTTATTCTGAAACACGCCAATATTATTCAGCTCTAGGGGCTTTGTATGAACTATCGTCTTTGCCTGGGGTATTTTTCCCTCTTCTATTCACTCAGGACTCACCTAAAATAACAGCTTCTCAAAGGAACCTTCCTTGATACACTATCCTCTTACCTTGTTTTATTTTTCTTCTCTTACTACTCAACATTATCTATTTGGCTTTTCATTTGTTTTTTGTCTGCCTCATGGTTCAGACTGGAATATAAATCTCAGTAAAGAAGGAAGTAGTCCCAGCTGGTGTGGCTCAGTGGACTGAGCACCAGCCTACCAACCGAAAGGTTACTGGTTTGATTTCCAGTCAGGGCACATGCCTGGGTTATGGGTCAGGTCCCCGGTGGGGGTCTTAAGCAACCAACTGATGTTTCTCTCCCTTCCTTTCTCCCTCCCTTCCCCCTCTCTCTAAAAATAAATAAATAAAATCTTTGCACTGGCTGGTGTGGCTCAGTGGACTGAGTGCCAGCCTGCGAATCAAAGGGTCACCAGTTTGATTCCTTGTAAGGGCACATGCCTGGATGCAGGCCAGGTTCCCAGTAGGGGGTGCATGACAGGCAACTACACACTGATGTTTCTCTCCTTCTCTTCCTCCCTTCCCCTCTCTCTACAAATAAATAAAATCTTTAAAAAAATGAAATTACGCACACATCTGTCTTGTTCCATGCCTGATACACACAGACACACAACACATTTTTACAAAATACATTTTAAATGAATATATAAATGACCAAATTTTGTTTCTTTCGAAAACAGTATGACTTATCAAGGGTAGAATGTTACTCTCTGAAAGAAAAAAACTATAGATATTAATATTTATTTTTATGATAACCCAATGTGTTTTGGAGAAGTTCTAGTATACTTTTAGAAACAACAGCTCCTCACTTTGTCTTTAAAAATCTACTAAATTCCTATTATGTACCCAGTCGGATCTGTTCTCTGTGGTTTCTAAGTCTGATATCATAAAGTGAAATTTTTGAGGGTCTGAAAATTATAATTCACATTAATTTTTTCCAGCTCTACTTATATACTCAGTAGACATTTCATTATCTACTGAAATGGATAACATTTGAAATTAAGAATTAAAAAACCTGTACAAATACCAAATATTTTAAAACTTATTTTCTATTCATTTCCTTATTGTGACATTCTGAGAGAATAGGTATGTAGGCAAGATATCACCCTCACTTGTCAGACAAAGCTTAGGGTCACAGGGCTGACTATATAATTAATGGTGGAACTTGGACTAAAGGGCAGCATCTCCTCATTTACTAACTGAATGGTAGATATGTCGATGTATAAAATATAATGGGGGAAAAAAGGTCTTTTCTCCTTTCCTTACCAAAAATGTTAGCCCTAAAGATTAAGCTCCCATTGAACTCCAAATAGAAACCCTACTCTCCAGGAAAACATTTTCATTTTGCCTGTTTTTCTAACTACCACAGCTACTTACTGTTTCTTATTCAATTACTGGTAGAATGTGATCCTGAAAAAGTACATCCCATTTCCCAACCCTACCCCTTAAAGGTGGCTTGGGGGAAAGAATCTTTTATTGGAAGAATGAATGTTATGGTGCTAATAATTCTGCAATGTAATATTATGTTTTAATAACTTTGATATTAAACAATGTGACTGGTGCAAGTTTGAGTACAGCAGAGGAAATCTGTTAAGCAAAATTATATAATTAAAAATCGGGGGAAAATCCCTTATTTTTTATGGCACATTGCAATGCCTAGTGCATTTTAAGCTTATAAACAGTGTTAACTTGTGGCATTATGTACTATTTATACTTACTGTCTGGTACTCCTGAGGAACGGTCTGCTCTGCACCCAGGTTACATACTTGCCTAGCTCTCCTCATCAGTTCCTTGCATTTCTGCAATAATCTCTGTCTGTTTTCATCCAACTCAATGAAATGTTGCTATTATAAGAAAAAGAAATATTTTGGAAATTTGAACAGAGGACTATTTTATTAAACACATCAAACAAATGATTAAACTTGATTGTGATAAGCAAATCTGAAAACTGTATTTCAAATCATGACTGCTTTTCTTGTAAAGGTTAAATCTGAACTTTTTAAGAGCTTTAAAATTTACATTTAATTTTCCTTTTCCTGAAACAATTTAATTTAGCTACATGTAATTTCACCCTAATAAAATACGAAATACACAGCATACGGGCTTCATATCAGAAAACTCAGTACTCAATTGTAAGTAGAACCTTTTAAACAGTGTTTAATAGTTTTCCAAATGCCTTTCATGCAGTTATCATTTATTCGTGGACACATTCATTTCTTCACCAAATAATTACTGAGAACCTATTAAATGCCAGTTTTTATTATGTACTGAACATAAAAAGGTGAGTAAAAAGATACATAAAATAATCATAAAAAGAGCTGTTATTTATTGAGAACTTATGTGCTAGGTGCTTCATGCACATTATTCCCTTCTTAGGACACTGACAGTAATATCGTTCCCATTTTGTATCTTAAAAAAAAAAAAAAAAAGACTTGAGAGGAATTAAAGTAACTTGTGCAAACTCACACATTTAGTTAGAGGCAGTCAGGATCCACATCTGTGCCTACTTACAGAACTCATGCCTCTCAGTGGGAGAGGACTGCAGAGGAAAGGAAAAGAGTATGTGTGTGGTGGGGACAGGAGGTGCAGGAAGGTCAGAGTGGTCAGAGACGCTAGGATGAGTGAATGGTCTTGAAGAACAAGTAAGAAGTCAGATGGCAAAAGTTTCGTATGTAATGAGGAGGGCTTCATGGAATGCCTTCTTGTGGGCCAAGCTCTGTTACAATCACTATCTTATATGTTAATTAATCTAATCCTCATAACAATCTAAAAAAATATATTATCTCCTTTCCTAGATGTGGCTCAAAAGTATTAGTTATGGAAATAGTAGGTGAGCAGGTGCCTGAGAAAAAAAAGACAGGTCTAGCTTGCTCTTTCCATTAAACCTCAAACTTCGGTCTGCACAAAAAAAAAACCTGGAGTGGATGGAGGAGGTGGTGAAGATTGTTCCAACACTACTGATACCCCAGCCACATGCCAGACCTATTCGATTAAGTTCTCTGGGGCTGAGGCCTGGACATTTGTATAATTAAAAAGGTCCTTGGTGATTTTTATGTGTAGAAATTTGACAGCAAATAAACTAAACAAAGACAAATGTTATGAAAAGTAAAAGGGTTTGTACTGGGCTGAAATGAAAATACAAGTAAGACTTTACACTAACTTCTTAGTACCGTGGTCTCCTTGAATGAATTCCTCAGTCCCTAAACCCTTGGAGAAATAAAAGAAAATGTTAAAGACGCCCAGTCACCCCTACTCTGCTCTCTAGGGCCATCACACTCAGGCAAATGTAAAACAAGGAACAGCTAGGTAGAAACTAAACACTCCTGAAGTCTTCTATTCCTGCTTCCTATTCCTCTGGATCTTGCTAAACGAAATGTCCTTGTGTTGAATATTTGGGGATCTGTGCTTAGGGGGACAAAATTTCATTGAATAATTCCCTTCTGTTTGGTGGCATATGTATAATAAATTCTTAACCAGAAAAGATGTTCTTTCTATACATTGCATCTCTTCCCCTCACCACTGTAACTGTGGAGATTTTTTTGAGGGGGAGGGTAAGGAATGGAAAGAAAAGGGGTATACAGTGATTTAAGATAATGCTGTACAGTTAGGCTGGTGAAAAAAGCTATATCTACATTTCTGCTTAGAGTCTAGCCTTTAATAGTTAATAGACAACAGAAACATTTCATTTATGTAAGACATAAGGGGAGAAAAGAGCAAATTTCCAAAATACCGCCCACCAACAAATTAGAAAAGATTAGTCTGTAGGTATGTCTTCTGAGAGAAATTAGTATTATCTTTTCTCTGAAGTTCTTTTTTTAACTTGACATTAAACAACCAAAAGCTTCTCTAAGAGGGCCCTCTAGTGGAAGAAGTAAGACTTGTTTGCAGAATTTATTTAACAGCATTTACACACAGATTATTTAACATATTTATTATTCCATTTAACAACTTAAATAACAAACAGAATGAAAATCATTTTCTATATTATAGGAACCAAACTTAGTTCTAGGTATCATGAACTTTTACTAAAATGCTAGTTTTAAATTAAAACATTTCTCAATTTTCCTTGAATACAAATGAAAGCACATTTCATTACAATTTAAATGGTCTCAAATTCAAATGTGACCTATAAGTTTTAATACATATTAGAATACATATTTTATAAACATGAAAAGTATTTAATCATTCTTTTTTAATGACAAAATTTCAGTGTCAAATTTGAAGTAATGGCATTAGTACTCTTTACTTGTTAAATACTCCCCCTCAAATGTGTATCTCATTTAAAATGTCTCCTCTGGAATTTGTTGGGTTTTTTTTTTGGGGGGGGGGAGGCAGAGAGGGGGTGCCAAGCAGGTAGGCAGAGAATGCTAGATGAAAGCACAGAATTTCTAAATTTAGTATTAGGATAAACAAATAAATTAGTTTACAATTCATGTAACTTATATTGACCCTGATATAAATCTATACTTTTTAGGGAAGTACTGGCTTCATACTAGGCAGTACTCTAAGCACCTTAATATATATTATCAATGAATATCTCAATATCCGTGGACCATAGAATGTGGCCATCTTTGTAAAAAAAAAAAAAAAAAATTAGTGACTCAAAGACTGAAAACAAACCTCCTCCTAAGAAACTTTGCTACTCTCCAAAGTAGTCAGCTCCATTTGAAATATGAGTATTTTTGCTACTATTAACCAAAACAGATCACAATAGAATGCCCTATCTATTTGTACCTAATTGTAGTATATCTATGTGAATAAAGGCTGTTGGAAGATGACTTCTCACCATGTCAAGGGGGGGGGGGCGGTTAAAATTTGGGAGAACACTTATTTCAAAGCCATCATAATTTCATGATATTTCTGTACATATGACATAAACCCATTATTTTCTTAAGTCCTCATTAGAACTTAATTCAAAACAAAACTTCAGGAACCAGGATCAAATACTGTATTGTGTGATTTGACTTAAAGTTCCATGATGAGTCCATTTCCATATGAAACTTCTATATGAAATCTTTTCTCTACTGAACAACCAGGTTCATAGGCTCCATCAATAGAGAAAGCTTAGCATGCATGGTTTTTACAGATATTTACCTGCAACAGAATACAGGCTGATGGGCAGGCGACTGCCTATAGAGGCATTTCACTCCAGTGAAATGCACACTGATGTGGCTCTCCTTTGATAGCTAGTTCCCTATCCAGCCCACCCTCCTTCTACCCCTTCCAGCCTAGGTACTACAGCTTTGGTTTCTTTTTATAGATATAGATATAGATATACAGATATATGTATAACTGTGTATATATTCCTTCTCTCTATATATACAGTTGTGAGCATGTGAAACACTGTTCTTATATTATTAAATATAGTTATTATTTTCCATCCAAACTGTAAACCTATGTTTGCCCCACCCTGTGTTCAGAATGACTATTGCTACCTTGTGCTGCCTTCCTCCCCTGCTTCCCTTATTCACTGGTTGAGGAGGAGAGAGGGAAGGAACTTCCATCTCCCACACCTTTGGCTTTGCTCAAAGTGAACTAATTCTAGCATATCAAACCTAACCTTCAGCTCCCTCTGGCTAGGTGTGCTTGCCTACTCTAATATGCTTATTTGCAAGCAAAGTTCTTTTTTCCTTTCCTCCTTCCCCAGTTTCTTCTAGCCATATGCTTCTTCAGGAAGCCACAGAGTTTGAAGAAGATGACTTCAGAATAATGAAGCTTCTATTCCACTTTAACTTCATCTTCCCCTTCACCTGTGCAGGCCTATGTCTCTTTCCTGAACCTTATCCTCTAATGACTCCACAAAAGACAGTTCTAGAAGCCACTTTTATGCAACAGGTATGCCTGTGAAAACTGTAAAGTGAATCACATACAGATCACTGCTAGACAGCAGTAGAATCTGAGAAAGTAGAAGAATGGATGGTGAAGGGTACAAGGGGACTTTGAATACACGAAGAAAAGGTTTAAAAATCTGCAACAAATATGGCAAAGTGTAACATCTGTTTAACAGGAATAGCGGACACATGGAGGATATGCTACTCTTCCTATTCTTATAATTAAAAATTCACATTTAAAAATATAAAAGACCTCAATGAAACAAATGATAAAAATCCTAATGTAAGTGTAATTGATAAATAAACTGCACATTTTAAAGTGTACATCTTGATGAATTTTGACAAATATATACACCACCAATGGAACCATCACTACCAAGATTTACCCTCTGTAATCCATCCTCTGTACCCTACCCAGGTAACCACTGATTTATTTCTATCACTAGGCATTCTGCAGTGTGTAGAATTTCATATAAACAAAATCACAGTTTCTGGTCTGGCTTCTTCCCCTCAGCATACTTGAGATCCATCATGTTGTGTGTATCTGTAAATTCATTCCTTTTTATGGCTGGGTAATAAATAGGCTGTCATGGATACACTGTAATTTATTTACTCATTTAACTGTTGCTGGGCTTTTGTTTGCAGTTTTTAGTTATTACAAAGAAAGCTGCTACATACTTGTGTACCAGTCTTTCATGGACATATGGTCTCATTGCTCTTGGGTAAATACTAGGAAAGGACTGGCTAGATTACATGGCAGGTATACGTTTAGCATTTAAAAATCTTTTCAATGGTTTCCCAAAGTGATTATGCACTTTAAATCTCTACCAGAAACACATGTGAGTTCCAGTTGCTCCACATCTTCACCAACACCTTGGTATGCGCAGTGTGAAAATTTTAGTCATTCTAGTGGGTTGGCAGTGGTACCTCATTATTATGCCTTTAATTCACACTTCCCACTGACTATTAAGATTGGGAATCTTTTCATGTGCTTATCTGTCATCTGTATATACTTTCTTTAGTGAAGAGTATGTTTACATCTTTTGCCCATTTTTTGGACTACGTTGTTTGTCTTCTTTGTATTGATAATTTTAAGAGTTCTTTTTATTGCATCCATCACAGGTTAGCAAACTTTTTCTAAACAGAGCAAGAAGGTGAATATTTTAGGTTTTGAGGTCCACTTACAGTCTGTCATATATTCTTTTGTTTTAACCCTTTAAAAAATGCCAAAACTCTTCTTAGCTTGCAGGGAACTTTACATAAACAGACCAAAGTTACAATTAAGCCACAGTAATAGTTCTCTGTCTAGATACAAGTCCTTTGTCCAGTATATGTTTTACAGATATAGTCTCCCAATTAGTAGTCGGCCTTTTCTTAACAGTATCTATTGATAAGCAAGTTTTAAATTTTGATAAAGCACAACCTCTGATTCCTTCTGTGTTCCATTTTGCCAATTCTAAGGTCACTAAGATTTTCTCAAGTTTTATAGGTTTAGTTCTTACATTTAAGTGCAGGATCCATTTGTATATATGTGGTATGAGTTAAGGGTTATGGTTCATTTTTGGCATATGACTATTCAATTGTTCCAGTACTGTTTGTCAGGTTATTCTTCCTCCATTGAGTTGCCTTGGTATCTTTGCAAAACAACAACTGACAGTATATATGTGAATCTACTTCTGAATTCTCTATTCTGTTCCACTAATCCATGTCTATTTTTACAGCAATACAATAATGTCTTCATTATTGTAGCTTTGTAAGTCTTAAAATTAAATATTGCCATTCAAATTGCTTTTTCAGTTTTTCTAAGTTCATTATATTTTAGAATGAGTTTGCCATTTTCTAAAAACTAAAAGCCCTGCTGGGAATTTTAATGAATTTCTAGATTCAGGGGAGAACTGACATTTAAACAAATCCTGAATCTTTGCTCCATGATCACAGTCAACCTCTCCATTTACTTAAGTCCTATTTTAACTTGTGTCAGCCAAATTTTATAGTTTTCAGTGTACAGGTCTTGTAAATATATTTCTAAGTATTTCATATTTTTGATGCAATTATATATACAGTATTGTTTTATAAATTTCAATGTCCTATTATCTGTTGCTAATATATGGAGCCACAACTGATTTCTGTATACTGAACCTGTATCCTGCAACCTTGCTGAATTCACTGTATTTCCTGGAAACTGTTAAGTTTTACAGCAGTGGTTCTGAAATGGGAGCATTTTTGCTCCCCAGAGCACATCTGGTAATGTCTGGAGACATTTTCAGGTGTCAGTAACTGGGGCTGCGGGAGGGTATAGTACTAGCACCTAGCAAGTAGAGACCAGGGATGCTGCTGAACGTCCTACAACATACAAAGGACAGATCCCCACACAAAAAATTACCCAGTCCAAAATGTTGATAGTGCTATTGCTGAGAAACCCCATTCTCGAGGCTTAGTCAAGCTGAAGTTTAATTTTTCACATTATTTCATAGGTGTTGTTGTGTCCTTCCACCAGGATACCCATAAATATCTATCTTTTTTGTGATGTTAGCAGCTAATGTTATCCACTGATTCATCAGCAGCTGCAAAGTGTTAATATTCTAATATGACAATTCCTTCTGCATTTATTATCTGAATTACTTCTATAAAGAGAAATTTCCTTTCATAATTTTCTTCTGGAAAAGAGAAACTTCCCCTCATCATTTTTTTGTCTAATCTAAATAACAGTTCACACAGGAAAGGAAGAATAAATGCAAAATTCTTTGCCATTTTTCAAAATGAGCTGGCTCCCTAATATCCTCCAAAGGTGGCCAATATTATTTTTTAAAGTATCATTATGAATCCATACATTAAGATATTTTAATGTGTTTCTTTCAATCTATTATCACTTCATCTATGGTCAATGGGAGTGTCTTCCTGTTAGCTCCTGAGTGAAGTTGTCTGTAACAACTTCTTTGCTTTCTGGTGTAACAATACAATGGAAGTTAATCTCATACATGTCTTTCCCTGCTTGGGAGTTAGCCATTTCTCCAATGGCCAATTTTAGTGTCAAATAGCATATAGAGGCTAAAATCTGGGTCTTTTCAATAGACAAATCTAATATTCTTTTTTCTTTTGGAGAAAATACAATGAATTCATTAACTCAAATATTTCAAGGTTTTTAGTACTCATTTGTTTTATAGCTAAGTCTCTTCTCTTATGTTGGAAATCCTAATGACATTTAACATAATCCCTTATTTGCTTTAAAGTATAATGTTATGTTTTCAGAATAACATTACAAGTATGATTAACAACGTAACTGAAAATAGTACAATTTTTTTTGCAGTTCTTTTTGTCCTTAATACCAAATGTCTATGTTTTAAAGTCAATAGAAATACTTTTTCTCTGTGAGGTTATATTGCTGAAGTCAAAACAAAGTGAGATTCATTAGTTTCATTTAGCTTCTGCTGTTTGTCTTACCCTATATGTCTCTTCATTTGACTAGTAGTGATTGGTAACCTTCATAATAAAATTGTAATTGAAAGTATGGGATTTTCTTGAATTGTGAGCCATTCTAATGAACTCTATTGAGCCTGAGGTCATGGGAATGCTTCAATAGGTAGCTAATTGGTCAGGTGTGCATGTGGCCTCGGAACCCCTGACGTTGCAGCTGGTGTCTAAAATAAGGACAGACTTGTTGGGGACTGTGCCTTTAACTCAACAGTCTGATGCCAACTTTGGGTGGCTAAGTGTGAGAATATATTACAGTACACCAATAGGGGTACCTTGACTTAGCTTTGTTGTATATATTTGCCCATGGGTTTGTTGTTGCTCTGTTGCTCTGTTATACTAGTTATTCTTCTATTTTGGGGAATGGATTTGAGACTCAAAAACTGCCAGGCCACTACCATTTTGTCACCAGCCTTTCTTTGTGTTTTAAGTTAACTCGGTATATCACATTTCCTGCCCTGCACACTATTTCAATATTTATCATCTTTTCACGGTTACAGAAGATTAAATTGCCAAGATTACCAGTATACACCAACACTCCCAGTGCTGGTTAGCACTCATCTGCAGTGTACTCCATGAAATGTACAAATTGCATTACAGCTGCTTGATAATAGTAATGACTATGATTTGAGTTAATACAAAAGCAGACAGGAGGCTTTAGTTTTCAAGTGACTAAATTAGATATTCTGATTTCTCTTTTTGGATTACTACCTCATCTCCTAATCAAATAACAAAATGTACAGTGTAAAATATTTGCTTTCTTATCCAACAGAATGCATTAAATTTATAAATTAAACAGCACACAAACTACATACTGCAAATAATAATATATATTATTTTCAAACAGGCCTGAGACTAGAATCCCAAAATAAAAAAACAAGCAAAAATGTTACCTCTTTGAGACGTAGTTGTGATGATGCAGCCATATAATCTGATTCTAATTTGTTCTTCTCAGAGATCACTGTAGTATTTTGAAGAATTAAATCTACTTTTTGTATATGCAAAGAAGTGCAAATCTAGGAGCAAAAACCCATAAGAGTTTAATTTATATTACATTTAAGAAAAATAATATATTAAAAAATTATAAACCATAAAACTACTTTCCTCCATTAGACTTGGTAACTTTCTCATTATTTTTATAACTATTTCTTACAAGAGAATGTAAAAAAGTTTTCCTATGACTTTGTTGAGTCACCTGGAATAAAATTATTTAACCTGACGACTGCTTTTAATCAACTTGACCTATAATAAAAAAAATGTCAAACAATAGTACAAGTTAAAATTATTGATAAAAATCTCAAGATTCTACCACATCTCAGCTACCTGTATAACTAAAATTAAGAAGATGCCTCACCTTTATTAGGTTTGTTAATTCGGTAACAAGCTTTGCTTTTTGAACATTTATTTCTTTAATTTTGGTACTTGCTTTTCGCTCTTCTTCTTCAAGGTTGCAAGTATCCTGTTCCATCATCTTTAAACTGTATGAAACATATAATGATGTAGAAATCAAAGTTATACACAAGGATTGAGCCCAAATCCTAGGTCCTTCATTGTTTTATGGGCTATTGAAGATGTATAAACAGCTACCTTCTAGATTAGATAATCATCTTATACAACTATTCAGGATCAAAAAGTATTCGTTGAGATGTATTATGTGCCCAGTATAATCTAGGTAATGCTAGTACTACCGGTATCTAAAATCACAAAGATGGATCTGAATTTGCTCCTCAGCACTGATGAACAGTGCAACTGAATGCTACTTGTCTGGCTTTCGTTTCCTAGAGTTGTGGTGAAGATGTAAACTCCATAACATACTTAGTATAGTGTCTGGCCTGTAACTGATTGATACATATAAGTTGTTACTTTTGTTATTAATACTGTTTATGAACATAGTCTTTTGCCTTAAGGAGCTTAACTAGGGGGATTTAATTAATAAGCTAAAAACAAACATAATGAAGACATAATACAACAATGCTAAAAGTTAATACTTTGCCCTTTAAGATGAAGAAACTAAGGCCCTGAAGTTAAATAAGTTACCTAAGATCAGAGATACTAAATGGTATGCTGTATTTGGCACCAAAGTTCTTTCCACTACACTATGCTGCCATTAGGGAATAAAACAAGAACAAAGGATGGAAGCAATAATCAACAAAAATGAACTAGTTCAATGGAGTTATAGAACGGACTGAATGATACATGGAAGACAGTGTTGGGGCACGTAGGGAGATGAGTTGGAATGGGTTGAGTGAAACAAGATTTTGAAAAACTTGAAAGCCAGTCTAAGGGAAAGTAGTATTTAAGTCAATTTTATGCAGTAATGGCAGGAAACCACAACAGATTATCTTGAAGGAGGGCAGGAACACGAAAAGAGGATAAATTTAACAACAATAATCTGGAGGCACTGAATAGAGAGGGGACAAGTCAGAGAGACCACTACCCAGGTCACCACTGTAGTATTCCGAAGTGCAGAACTGTACATAGGAGACAGACAGCTGGTAATGGGTATGAAAGGTCATTTCACTACAAAAATAAACATTACTTAAGGAAGAGAAAGTTCATTTTATTTTTAGTTAATTAATTTTTAGAGAGAGGGGAAGGGAGGGAGAAAGAAAGGGAAAGAAACATTGATATGCAAGATATTTTATCAATCAGTTGGTTGCCTCCTGCATGCCCTTAAATGGGGACCTGGCCCATAACCCAGGCATGTGCCATGACTGGGAAATGAAAAGGCAACCTTTTAGTTCGCAGGCTGGCACTCAATCCATTGAGCCAGAGAAGCCAGGGCGAGGAGAGAGTTTAGTTTTAAACAACATAATAGTCCAATATGGCAGCCTCAGAATAGAGGTTAAGTGTTTGCAGATGATTAAAGACAGGAATGAAGCGAAGGGCGAAAGTTGGAAAAGGCTCAAAGTAAAAAAATTCTAGGCAGTTAGACTAAATACAGACACCTTGCCTTAAGAAACCATGGTACATTATTAACTTTTAAAATAAAAGTGAATGACAATTTATTTGCTTAAAAAATAAATTTTCTTAATGCATCTCAAATATTACTCAATATATGATTGTGTTTAGAAACACAAACTACATTAGGCATGGTAAACTTATACCTTATTCAAGGCAATGAGCTGTCACTGATTATTAAAAGCTGATTATGTCATTAAAATTTACATTTTTATTCTATTGGCAAGAAGCACAAATGAACAAAAGAAGAGCTTAGCTATGGCATGGTAGAATATGGGAAAAACCTTGAAACTAGGAGCCAATGTTCATTCCCCTTGGGAGTAAAATTAGAGTTTGAGAGAGAAATTACGAAATGTGCTTTGGGATTATGATATCAAGGGTAAACTACTAATATCCCCATACTGCTTTGTGCCCCTAACACACACCCCACAAAAGTGGATGCAACATACCTTCCTAGTTTGGAACTAATTTTTTGTTCCAATTGTCTTTTCTTGGTTTTCCTTTCAACAAGTTCCTTCTTCTTTTGTCTAAGTTCATTATCTCTGTGTTCTAGATGTTTGTTTGTTTCACGCAAGGCAATCAACCCTGATTCCACTGCTTGCAATTTTCTATTAATTTCCTATGGGATATTCAAAATTGTTAATATATATTTTAAAGATTTCTAGTTAAAGTATTATAAGTCCAGTTAATATTTTTCTAATATTAAATTTAAAAAACAAAACAAAACACCAACCCTTAGATGTTCTTCTAGGTGTCTTCTTTGCTCTAGATCCACGGTGACTGTGAGAAACTGGGCTACTTTTAGGGATGTGTTACTAGAAATAACTTTATTTGAATAAAAGGAAGTTTTCACCACATACTTTTCTTCTGCTGTGTACATTTGTCTTAATCGGGTTTCTTGTATTACCTACAGCATAAAATAAATATCAGAGCACATCTAATAATTATGATATAATTAAAAGGACTAAAGAATTAAAAATACAGATTAAGTGAATTTTAGAAGATCAAAATATAGTAGATATACATTCATTACCCAACAACATCACTGATATATTTCAGGTTATTATTTTAGATAACAACAAGGAAATTAGGAGAAAACCAAAATCACTAGCAAAGTTAGCTATATTATGCTTTGCTATATAATCTCTCCCAACTCAGCATACTTTTGAAGCTTTGTTGTATCTACAGAAAAATATACCAGGACCCATGTATCCATTACATTGAACTGTGTTATTTCAGGTACGTCATTTACTCTGCCTTCCCCTCAATTACACAGTTGAAAGACACACAGTCTTATATTTAATTCCTGTATATATTTGAGAGAATACTTAATGAAAATACCTTTCAAGGAGTTCAGAGACTTTTTTGCATTTTAGAGGGCTCTTTTCTCTCAAGAACTGATACAAGGAAGTTCATAAAGTACATTCTAAATGCCATAACATTATAAATATACAAACACAGAGCTAATAAAGAATAAGCTGCTGTAATGCAGTTTTTCCTAATCTCTACAAAGGTTTATTACCAATACTCCTATGGTTTGTTTTCCTCCAGAAATTTATAGTCTAAGTGAAGAGAGAAGACACAGGTTTTATAAACTGGCATCACCATTGTTAAATAAATTAGAATGGAAGGAAAGCCTAGAAGAGGTTACCTAAGTTTCATGAAAATAAATTTCAAATGGGATTTGAACCGACAGAGATGGTGAGGGAAGGGCACTCCCACCAAAACCGATGTCAAGAGCATCAGCAGATAATTTAACCAAAAGGGGGACTTAGAAATTAGTGAGGGAACAATTCCAGAAATTAGTGAGGGAACAATTCCATAAATAAGTTATAATCATTGTTAAAAAATCTAAAATGTTAGTATTCAATAATAAAGCAAAACTTACACTAAAAAATGTATCTTTAGTCTAATGAAGAAATATAGCTGTTATTGTCATTATCTAGACATGAAACAGAACCGCAGACACAAAGACAAAGTTTCTTCAACAAAGGTTTATATCTTCTGAAAGATAGCGAAGATAATGCCAGGGGCTTTACCAAGTGTTTGAAATACTTCCTGACTTGGCTTTATTGTTTATTCACATGTCTGAGAAGCATCTCATCATAATTTACAGATATTTGTATATAATATAGCATTCAGTTGGACAATGAAACAATAAAGCATAGAAAACATCAATGTGTTCAAGGATTTTAAAAATATCATCACTTACACAAAACCAGAGATTAAGGTTAATGAAGTGGGGAGGGTGGGAGGGGGGACTTGATTGGGAGTAAAAAGGAGAAAACTGTATATGACCAATGATTAATAAAAAAAAAAAAAAAAGGTTAATGAACAATACTTGAAAAGAGATAAAGTGGAACATAAACATTAATTTTACTTTTAATGTAAATTATTTGAATTCCAATGCTTTCTCTCTACTACAAACTGTAGGGTTAAAGCTCTCTAAATGACTTAAACAAAATGTTAAAAAATAAAAGTACATAAAACTACTTCAACTTGAAGCACTCTTCAAAAGGTAAAAGAATTTCCCAACTGCAGTAATTGTTCTTTTCTGCTCCAAAGTAAAATTATAAAAGCCCTTATCAAATTATCTATAGTCCTTTTGTAATAGTAAAGAATTCGTACTACCCCTACCTTCAGATAGCCCTACCTATCCCTAAAGTTATGACAAACGCTGGTTGGTCTATGCAGATGGTCTTGTCCTTTTTTTCTAAACACGTGGAATTAGACCAAAGAGGTACAGTGAGATAACTGTAAATTGGTTAAAACATTTGAACACGTATTCTAACAAATTCAGTATTATGAATAGCGGTTAAGTCTGTAATTGGGTCCTAGATGCTCAGAAGTAGTATAACAGGGTAACTTGGTGTTATAGAAAAACCTATTTTAGAAGGGATTTCTTCCCTGTTTCTGCCTGTGATAATAATAAAAAAAAAATGCAGTTTGTAGTCCTGGAGAGTACTTCTAAGAAAACAATCCTGAGGCGTACTAACAGAATATATGAACTAAGAGTTCCTTAAAACCTATATGATCTTACTAGCCAATGTCACCCCAATAAATTTAGTAAGTAAGTAAATATATAAATTACAATTAGTTTTAAAAAAAGTTTAAGTAGCTATACTAAGCGAGGAAAATAAGATCCCATTAAGGGTGGTCATTCATTTATGAGGTAATCTTAAGTGGAAGCTTTAAAAAGGGAAGGGTTTACTAAAACATTTCTGTATCACAGCCTATCATCCTGAAGTATAATTTGTCTGAAACATAATCTAGAATACAAGCATTTAAATAATTAAACATTAATATAAAGTTTAAAAATAGGTTTATCAAGCAAGCCAGAATCAGGTTAAGAGTGCCAGGTATTTCTTTTCAGGTTTTAATTTATTAAATTACCCTATAAGTATTAAGTATTTATTTACTTTAGGTAACTCCCCATCACTCCTGTCACATAGGATTAGTCAGTAGTTATTGTTTTACGGCATATTAAAAATACAAAATACAAAGATACTTTCTGTGTGGTTCAAAACAACAGAATGATACACTTCTTTAAATTTCTTATAATTTTTCCTTGACTTTAAGCTAAGAAATGTTAACAAAACTACCAATTAAGCACTTCCTTACCCGTTCAATTCTCTCTCTGGTCCTTTCGGTCCCTACAGGAACTTCATGGATATGATACTGGCTGCATAGGTAGCTCATGACAGGAGCAGGCGCATCGAACAGCTCCCGCAGGTAAGAGAAGAATCCATATTGTCTGAAAGGAGTAGCGGCTATTAGGTTTTTCTTCTTAAAATACCATTAAAAATTTTGATAGCTGACAGGTAGCCAATAAACAACAAATAAAATAAGAGCCATTTTGCTTTGTATATTTTAAAATTACTTAAGATTAAGTGATTAATATTGAGATTTATTTCCTTGTCAAGGTTTAACCATTATATATTTACAATTACAAGCTATTAATCTGTTCTTTTGTCGTTTCTTCCATTTCTTTCATATTTAAAATGTCTACTTACATCTAGAGTTAAACAGCTATATTTACTTATAGCTGTTTTATAATTGCAATTTTTCCATTTACTCCTTCTGGAAATTATTTTTGCATTATTAAGTGATAATTTATCATTTTATTTTCTCAATAGCCAACTATTTTGGTATTTTTTATTAAATAGTCCAGTACTGCTTTGATGATTTAAAACATCACCATCATGTACTAGCTATACCATGGCTGTTCCTGGGCCTTGATTTTTCCTTATTTTAGACTTAAGTAGAGATCCTAAAAGGAAATAATATAGCCTATAACAAACCTATTTATGTGACAAAAAGATAATTAAAATATAGCAGAGAGATAAAAGATTACCCAATATGTGAAAGGTAACAAGTTAGTTCTACTAATATTTTTAAGACTTACTTTAGTTCATTTAAAGGCCTTGCAGGTGCTCTGTCTGCATATGAACTCCTAGGAGCAATAACAGCATTTACTCTTAACTTTTTATTATCACGAACCTGAATATAAGGAAAAAAATATTATTTTAATTACCATCTGCTCTCATTCAAAATGATTCTTAAAGCTACCATATTGCTACTGGCATTCATGGGATGATCAGAAATTCAAACACTGATAGGATATTTAATGATTCCTATCAGGGAAATTTTTAGTGTGATACTGATATTATGTGTTTTTATATTGTAGTTACGTGTTTTTACGAGTCAATTTCTTTGATCATTTTCACTGATAAATTCTATGAAACAGTTAAGGAAGCAACACCAGAACTCTTTCAGAAAACAGAAGGAAGGGACATTCCCCAAGTCATTTTATGTTATCAGCATAATGTTGATAGCAAAACCTGATAAAAACTTATAATATCCCTCATGAACATACATGCAAAATTCTTAACAAAATATTAGTAAATAGAATCCAGCAGTACATGAACAGTATACACAACCAAGCAGTTTATCCCAAGAACATGAGGTTGATGTAGCATTCAAAAAGTCAACCAATCTAATTTACTATATTAACAGAATAAAGTATAAAAGCCATATGATCATCTCAGTAGATGCAGAACACTTGACAAAATTCAACAGCCATTCGTGATAAAAATTCTTAACAAAACAGACATAAAAAGAAACTTCTCTACTTGATAAAGGGCATCTATGATGAATGTTCAGCAGACATAGTACTTAACAGAGAAATACTGAGTGTTTTCCCTCTAAGTCTGGGAACAAGCAAGGATGTCTAATCTACCTCAGGACAATTTAAAAGAGAAATGGTACTAGAAAATGTAGTGAAGCACAATAAAGAAGTAAAAGAATTCCAGGACCAGGTGGCTTCACTGGTGAATTCTACCGAACATTTGAAGAAGAGGGAATACTCTAACTCACTTTATGAGGTCGATATTACCCTGACAGCCAAACCAGGCAAGAAAAATATAGAAGAAAATTATAGGCTAATATCTTTGATGAACATAAAAGCAAAAAGTATCAACAGAATACCAGCAAATCAAATATAAGAATACATTAAAAGGAAAACACATCACAATCAAGTGGGGGTTCATTTCAGAAATGAAAGGATGGTTTAAGATATCCACATCAATGATACAACCTCATTAACAAAATGAAAGATAAAAATCATATGACTGTATCAGCGGATGCAGAAAAAACTTCTGACAAGATACAGCATCCATTTATTATGAAAGCACTCAATAAAATGTGTATATAAGGAAAGTATCTCAACATAATAAAGGCCACATGTGACAAAATTTCAGCTAATGTCATTCTCCAAGGTGAAATACTGAAAGCTTTTCCTTTAAGATCAGTAACAAAGACAAGGACGCTCACTCTCACCAGATACTCAACACAGTACTAGAAGTTCCAGCCAGAGCAATGAGATAAAAGCAATCCAAATTGGGAATGAAGAACACTGTCACTATTTGAAGATGACATGATTCTACACAAAGAAAACCCTAAAGAGTCCACCAAGAGACTAACAGAAACAATGAACAAATGCAGCAAAGTTGCAGAATACAAAATCAGTGTACAAAAATCTGTTCAGTTCTTATCTACTAACAATGAAATATCAGGAAAAGAGCTAAGAAAACAATCCCATTTGCAATTGCAACAAAAAGGATAAAATACTTAGGAATAAATTTAACAAAGGCAGTGAAGAACCTATACACAGAAAACTACATAACACTGTTGACAAAAATTAAAGAGGACACAAAGAAATGGATATTCTGTGTTCATGGATTGGAAGAATATAGGTGAATGACCATATTCCATAAAGGAATAAACAAATTTATGCAAGCCCCATAAAATCTCAATGGCATTTTTCAAAGAAATAAAACAAAAAATCCTCAAAGTTGGAACCATAGAAGACCCTAAAGAGCCAAAGCAATCCTGAGAAAAAAGAACACAGCCAGAGGTATCACACTCCCTGACTTCAAAATTCATACAACAATCAAAACAGTATGGTATTAGCAAGAAAACAGACACAGGCCAACAGAAGAGAATCTGGAGCCCAGAAATAAATCCACATATACAAGGGTAAATAATTTTGACAAATGAGCCAAAAACATAAAATGGAGAAAGTACAGCCTCTTCAATAAATGGTGTTGGGAAAAAGGGAACACCACATTCAAAAGAATGAAATCAGACTTCTCACCATACACAAAAATTAACTCAAAATGGATTAGAGACTTGAACATAAGACTTAAAAAAATAAAATATATAGAAGAAAATATGGGCACTAAACTTAGGAACTTTGGTCTCAGAGGGGTTTTTGTGAACTTAATACCAAAGGCAAGGAAAAGAAAAGCCAAAATAAATAAGTGGGACACAGCAAAAGCCACCAACAAAACAAAAAGGCAGTTAACCAACTGAATGAGAAGTTATTTTCAAGCAATACCTCTGATAAGAGGCTAATATCTGAACTATATAAAGTTCTCATACAACAACAAAAAAAAACTAATTAAAAATGGGCAGAGGACCTGAACAGACACTATTCCCAAGAATACATGCAAATGGCCAAGAGATGCATGAAAAGATGTTCAACCTTACTAGCTGTAAGAGGTACCCATCAGAAGGACTACTTATCAGTATGATAAGAAATAAAAAGTTTTGGAGAGGATGTGGAGAAAAGAGAACTACATTGCTGGTGGGAATGTAAACTGGTGCAGCCTCTCTGGAAAACAGTACAGAGATTCCACAAAAAATTAAGAATACAGCTACCATATCACCCAGTAATCCTCTTCTGGGTATCTAATTTGAAAACACTTATTCGAAAAGATGTATGTGTCCAATGTTCACTGCAGCATTATTCACAAATAGTAAATGATTTTACATAGCATAGTGACTGTTAGGAACATATATGCTAGGTTATAGCAAAACTGACTGTAATTTGCAATGGACAAATAATAAAGCAAATAGGACAAAATGTAAATAGTGAATCTGGGTAAAAGGTATACAGAATTTCCATGTATACTCTTGCAACTTTAAGTTTAAAGTTATATCAAAATAAAATTATTAAAAAGACAGTGAGGGTATAGATTAAACAATACTGATGAAAAAATACTGACCATGAATCAATCTATCAATGACACTAGCATATAGGTCTCATTTCAGTTCATAAAATGTATTGTTTTAGTGGGTACCCTAAATAAAACTGAATCACACAATAAAAAATAATTTCCTTTCAATATTTCAAATCGCAAGGAGAAAGTTGTTGTATGTTGTCAGCATGTCCTTAACTCTTTATTATCTCCTTAAAAAAACCCATGTTCTCTGCTTTCAGTAAGCAACAGTACGGATCTAGAATTCACTAACACTGTTTGTATCATCTTTATTGCTATTCAAATTATGTTTCCTAATTTTGTGGTGATATTATACTCAGAATGTTTTAAGTAGTAAAAAGTGATTTAAAGAAAAATATAAAATAATCATATAGTTAGTACTAGTACTATATAAATTGTGATGATAGTGCACAGCAGTATATGAAATGGTGAAAACTGTGAAGATGGTTTTTAAGTTACTAAAAGGATGAGAGATACACTCAAGTACATACAACTACAGACGGTTACATGCAATACATTTCACAACTCAAAATACATAAAAAATCATACATGTAAAAGGAAGCTCTGGTCCTACTGATGAGATCTTTTGGAAATTGTCACAGCACAGGAAAAAAAAAAAGTCAAATTTTCAGAAACATATGTCATATTATCAGTATATGGTTCAAATCCTCAGCACAGAGGAAGAAGGATGATGCTCTAGGGCAAAGCAAGGTACTCAGTGTAGGCTAAACTGGTGGTCTGCAAAGTAAGATGTCGTCTAGTAACACCTGACTGAACACCCTTCATAATGTTCCACTTCTCACAGACCTGTAACCCAAGCAACCAACTTCTTCAATGACCTCGGATACCACCTCACTGATTATACTTCAACAGTCCTAAAATACACAAATTATAAAATGTCCACTTTATAATTTTACACATTCAACCTTTCTATAAAGTCTGTATTCACATTCCCTGTCAATCTGTAAACCAGATGGAAAACAATATGGTAAAAGAAAATAAATAAATAAAAAAAAAAAGTTAAGGATTCTTCCCAGTCACTTGTCTACCAGAGAAACTGAGGTCCACTTGAGCCGATTTTGGGTCCTATTCTCACTCAGACTCACTAACAAAGGTTTAAACAAAACAAAGTCTAAGCCTAATCTTTCTGGAGCTTTTAAAGAAGTAGAAGGCATATGAAAAAGGAAAAAGAAATTTTACTGACAATATATACTGGCATACATAGCTAACAACATATACTACATATTGGGTTGGCCAAAAAGTCCATTTAGTTTTTTCTGTCAAGTAAGAGACACATTTTTCATTTTCATCAATAACTTTATTGATTTGGATATTTTGAGTATGTTGGCCATCTCCTGCATGGTATAATGTTGATTATTTTCAATGTCTCAATTTGATTGCCATCAACTTCAACTGTCCACCTGACTGTTGAGCATCATCCAGTGAGAAATATACAGCATGAAACTTCACAAATCACTTGACACATTCGATCAGTCACAGCACCTTCTCCATACACTGCACAAATCTTTTGTTTCAGTTGTTTTTACCTTTCTTGAAATAATAAAGTATAATATACTGAAAATGTGTATTTTCTTCTATCTTCAGTATTAAAATGGCTACACAAAAATTAATTTTCTTAAGTTTTTTTAAATGCCTACTGATATGACAATTGTTCACATACAATCTAGCAGAATTCTTCCCAATGAAGTTAAAGACAATTAAGCACTATAGCCATCTTATGGGAAAAAACACATAAAATTTTTGTCCAACCCAATAGATATATAACAATATACACATAACATACGAAATAGCTAACAAGCACTATCTAAATACTTTTTCATTTATTAACTGATTTAATCCTCCCCAAAATCTTTTGAAGTAGGCAGTATTACCTCCATTTTAGGGATAAGGAAACTGAGGCACAAAACATTTAGGCAACTTGCCCAAGTGAGTAGCAAAGCCAGAATTCAAATCCTGGCAGTCTAATTGTAGAGCCTATACTCTTAACTCCTAAGCCATGCTGCCTTTCATTGACTTAGATTCTTGGTCAGTGGTGTTTTCTAGCCAAACACAGTATTATAATTTTTTAAGCAATATTTTATTTTTTAAAAGTGAGGGGAAGGGAGAGAGAAAGAGAGGAAGAGCAACATCAATGTGAGAGAGAAACATCAATTGGTTGCCTCTTGTATGCCCCCAGCTGGGGACCAAATCTACAACCTAAGCATGTGCCCTGACCGGGAATCGAACTGCCAACCTTTCACTTTGCAGTATGACGCCCAACCAACCAAGCCACATGGGTCAGGGCTCAATTTTTTTAAGTGATTTTATTTATGTCATAAACAACATCATATTTATTTCCCATCAAAAGAAAAACAGTGCATCCCAATATAGTTCCCAAAAGGATGTTAGAAACCCAAGACCCATCATTCTGATGTTTCTCTTTAAACAATATCACAGAAATGTCACAGAGGGAATTAGGCTGTTTTTCCTCTTATAAAATAAATTCATTCCCCAATAATATTACAGATAAGACAGAAATTAGTGAAACTGAGTGCCTTACACAGAAGTTACTGCCAGTAAAATTAGGCATTATCACTTTTAGCTCTAGTTTGATTTTTAAACTTTACCAGAAGTGCCAAGTGAGTCAAAACACGTTAGTTTATACTTGCCTCTTTGAGGAAAACCTCCATATCTTCCTGACTCTCAAATACAAAGGCTCTCAAGTCATTTGGTGGAATATGATTTTCAATATATTTGGCATTTTTATGATCTTTCATATTGATCTAAGCAAAACAAAGAAAAGTTGATTTTAAGGAAACCCAAACTTATTAGAAAATTATATTTAACTTAGATTTATTGAATTAGATTAAATTTAATGATTGAGAAAAAGGAAGACAAAAAAGAACTTGGTATTGAAGGGTCAACATTATAAAACATCTATTTAATCTAATTTACCATCCAGAAACATCCAATAAACAGTAAAATGAAAGTTAAGACTTGGATAGTACCCGAGGCATAGTGGTTTTGATATTATCTAATAATCAAGTTCTTTTCTGGTCACTCATTGAAAACATTGAAACAGTATTAATTGTGATCTAAAAGCATAAACATTTCTCATCTATCTCCAAACTTGTAATATGTTTCTTAATCTTCAAGAGGAATTCATACTGTACACGGCAAGAACTGATTGGTACAAAACTTTATGAAATGAATGGAAAAAATAGCTATGGATTAATTGTACCTGTTAGTGCCTTCAGAAGAAACCCAAGGTTAGTACCACTAGAGCATAAAAACATAATGATTTATTTTAAAATATCAACTCATTAGGCATTTCCACATGCTGAGACTCAGTGGTATTGAAGATACAAAGATAGGTCAGGAAAAACTGTTTTAAGAAGAGTAAAATCTATTATTTATTACAAATGATGAATACAATACATCTCCACAACAGAGGCATATTAAAAAAACACTAGAAAATTTTAAAGAGTAGCTCCAGCAGATGGAAATCAGCTTTCTTAAACTATCACCCGGACAAAAACACTATAAACATTTTAGTGTCTATTGTTTCACACTTTGGTAGGGAGGGGGGTACCAAAGTAGTTTACTGGTACTTTACCAAATGAAATAAAATATATGTGGGTATTTGCTACAACTTATAGAAAGGGTAAGCAATATGACAATAGGAAATTTTTAAAAAAATTTCATAGCTATGGATAAGCCATCTAGACTTAGCTCTCATTTTCATTCTCTCCCAGGGTGTACTTGTCAGAGATACTCTGTCATGTCCGAGTCTGGAGCCCCCATCTTGTGTAAGTTGGTTTCGTGGTCATTCAATTCTTTGATGGATCTCAGTTGCTAATATAGGTACTAAGTCTCAAGAGAGTCACACAAGAAGGGGGTCATTCACTGGCCAGTTTATTAATTTTCAGCAGTGACTGATTCAGTTTTTCCCAAATACACCACTGCATTCATGGTCTGGTTTCCTGACATCCTGAAAGAAGATTTGGCCACCTTGTTGGCTCTGCAGCTTTATCAGTTTCATAGCATGTTCCTTCTCATAAAATTGGTGAAGAAAATGTTTGGTAAAGTTCTCCAAAGCCACATCTTCACAGTCACAGTAGTAAGAGACAGTCAGACAGAGGAAATATATGCAGCACTCCAAGATGATCTGGTGGTTAATGGCAGCATCTTGTTTCACAATTTTTTAAAAATGAAATCTTTCTATACATTGTATCCTGTTACCTTTTTTATAATTCATGAATATGTCACAAATGTCCTCTTATATAAGTAAATAGAAATCTAGGGCAACATTTTTAATGCCTGCATAGCACTCCAGTATAAGGATATCACATAATTTACATACTATACAGCATATCTGAAAACTTTCTATTTTTGACCCATCATTCTGCTATTACAAACACTACTGTGATGGGTATAAGTATAAAAATATCTTTGCACACTTCTCCAATTCTATACTGAAATTTTTAGAAGTAACTCATGGAAATAGACTGATAAATGACAAGTTATATGACTAAAATGTTGAGCTTATATGTTGTTAATTTGCTTATGAGGGTGGTAGCATTTCAACTAAATCTTGAAGGGTTAAATAAGTGTGTATGGGAATACAGTTGGAAAGAGGTAGTAGGAAAAGTAAAAGGTTATTCCAGTAAGGATAAAAAAGGAGTATATATTTTTATCTCAAAAATTTAAAAAATTGACAATATATGCCAGGTAGTAATCTAACTTAATGATAAGGTACTATTAAAAAACCAAGCAACAAGAAAATAAAATCTAATAAAGTTCTAAAGTATTATTTTGAGATTGGCATTTTAATAAAAATTTGTTGACAAACTTGATTGTAACTTATTAAGAATTACAATTTTTTCTTACATTTTCCACTCCTTACCAAAGTAATTAAAACAATAATGCCTGGGTTCAAAATAGATATTTCCTTCTTAATCTGCCCAAAATCGTTTAATAATACATATCTGAGCAAGAAGAGAATACATTATGCATATTAATTTTGCTAATGTAATATAAAATTTAAAAACTATATGAAACGATTTTAGTGAAGTATAATAGAACCACAAGTTACAGAAAATAGAACTTTTCATGAATCCTGAAAGGATCTATACTGCATTCTTTATACAAGTATAAGAAATTATCTAGCAAAAACAATTCTAAAGTCATTTGTGGGAAAGTTTTAAGTTTATATTATATATGTGTATCTAATATATTATCACTAAAGAATGTGGTTTTTACTTTTGGGGGCCAAACTTACTATTTTAAATATTTTATATAGAAGTCTTCCTAATAAATCCAGGGCCACACTTCATTAAATGATTTACTAAATATACTTCACCCTATTCTTAGTGACCCATGATCATCAATAAGAGCTATTAAATGTTCATAAGGTTAATGAACTATTGGTTTCACTCTCAGAATCCTCATAATGCTGTTTTTGTAGCAAGAGATTTTCTTATCTACTTTCTGTTGGGTGCCTCATATCAACATATTTATTCATAGCAGTTTTGTACCCCTTCAACTGTATTTAATTCATTGCCTGCTATAACCTAAGAATAGCAACTGCCAGAAGGTACAAGCTAACCAAACTAATTTTATACATGATTCTTAGTCAATAGGTGCCAGTTTTCATACTTCTTTCCAGAAAAAGTTCACAGGTATATTGATCAAGGTCCCTTTAAAAAGCTCATGTACAGATTCAGCAGTATACCAGTTGCTGCGAGTCTAACAATGGAAAACGAGGGGTGTAAATAAGACTAAGAACTCTTTAACAACAAAAATCTATGATGATTACAAAAATAAAACTGATGGATGCTACCAAGATAAAATTTCTTACCATGAGCATTATGGGCTCATAGACTCTTTGCTTAAATCTGTCTCTGTTATTTCTCAGCCATAAAACAGCATCATACGTGTCACGATACCTCTGTCTCAGCTTATCTTCCTTTTGATTCATAAGATTGTCAAATTGTACAATTTGATCATTCACACCTAAAATTGGAAAATGAAACAAAGTACTGTTTCTCTGAAAACTTTCATTAGTAAAATAATCTAATAATAATAAAAAAAAAAATCTCAGACCCACAAGTTACAAACACTACTCAGCAAGTTCCCAATGGAGTGAGAAAAACCCACCCTCAATAAATCATTCTCAAATTTCCAAACTGGAATAAAGGATGATCTTTAAGCTACCAAAAACAAATAGGTCACATAGATGAGAATGAGAAAATACTAGATTCCAGAGACAATCACAATAGGCATTCAAAACCTGAGTAAAATTATTTTCAACTTAGAATTATACACATAACAAAATTGAAAAAAAGTAATAATAAAGATATTTTCTGGGATGTCAAGACTCTATAGTTAATTCCCAAATACCCCTTCTTAGGAGGTTACCTGAAGATGTACTCTAACAAAATAAGGGAGTAATGTAGGAAAAACAGAAGACATGGAATTCAGGAATAGCTTCATCCAACACAGAAAAGGGTCTGAGACAAATTCCAGATGACTGCTATGCAGGAGGCTTGGAGAACAGTCAGTCTAGAAAGGACAAGTATGGAAGGCTCCAGAACTCAAGAGAAAGCCTGGTAAGATGTTTTATTTTTTTATTTAAGGAAATGCTAAAACAAATGGTGCTTTTTAAGAAAAGTAATTTTCAACCTTTAAAAGCTATCAGTGAAAGACAATTAGATTATAACACACTACCTGGCTCTGCTGTGAACAAGTTTCATTGTAAAACGATGGATAATACTTATTATTTCTAGCTTTAAGAATTAACCCATATATAGAGCATATAAAACTTGATTATGGTTCTCAATAGAATGTTTTCAGCCTTAAGAATATAAAAACCAACTACAGACTAGAGAATTTACAGACTAGAGAATTTAGAGTATACAGACTAGAGAATTTAGAGTATAAAAAAGGAGGGATGTGTCCTGGCCAGGGTGGCTCCGCTGGATGGAGCATTGTCCTATAAACCGAAAGGTTGTGGGCTTGATTCCCAATCAGGACACACACCTAGGTTGTGGGTCTGGTCCTGGTCAGAGCACCTATGAGAGGCAACCTATCGATGTTTCTCTCCCTCTCTCCCCCTCCCTTCCTTTCTCTCCAAAATCAACAAGCAGGTCCTCTGGTGAATATTAAAAAACAGGGGTGGGGCGGGGGGGAATAAGGAGAGATAATAAGGGAAGGAGTACTGGTATATTTAGCTTACAGTATACATTAAAAAAATAGTAACAAGAGTTAAGTGACAAATGATAAAAAGATATATTAGTCACAATAAATCAATATTAATACATTTTACTGACTAATAGCTAATATGAATATAATAATCTCATTTGAGAAATTACAATAATAGGGAGGGGAGTTATGAGCTGAAATCACATATAAAGTAACAAAACAGCAAAAGATGATGTCTAAAATTGACATGGTAAGCTATGGTAAAATAAGAATATGCGCCCTGGCTGGTGTAGCTCAGTGGATTGAGAGCAGGCTGGGAACCAAAGTGTCCCAGGCTCGATTCCCAGCCAGGGTACATGCCTGGGTTGCAGGCCATAACCCCCAGCAACTGCACACTGATGTTTCTCTCTATCTCCCTCCCTTCCCTCTCTAAAAATAAATAAATAAAATCTTAAAAAAAAAAAAAGAATGAGTCTAACATTAAAAAAAAGAATATGCTGAAAATATATGAAGCTCAATTAGAAAAAAACTGATGAAATAGTTAAAAGTGCATATACTTGAGAGGGGGTCTGGAGGTTAAAAGGGGTAGGGTTACCCTTCTGTTCTAGTTTCTTTTTCTTTTTTTAAACCATACACATCTCATATTTGATAAACATATAAAATGGGTCTTTTAAAAAATTGATGTTAGTCACATATACTGAGCAGTTCGAATATGACATCTCCTCTATTTGGATAATGTTATAGATCTACCCACATGGTCTACAGCACAGGTGACAAACACAAGGCCTGCAGGCTGAATCTGGCCCAGCACCTTGTTTCTACCCGGCGGCAGTGCCAAACTCTCGCTTAACTGTTAAGGAGAAGTTACATTTATACAGTCCTAAAATTACATTTGGCGCTTTGAAGGCAACTGTGAGGCTGATGTGGCCCCCGGTGAAAATGAATCTGACACCCTTGGTCTAAAGGAAAGAAAAGCAAAGATGTAACTGGACAGGCTTCAAGGAACAAGTAAATAGAAAGTTTATAAAGGCTAGAATAAAGAGTTTAAATTTGATCTGAAAAATAATAGCAAGTGACTTTCTAAGAAAATGAAGCAAAGTATTTTTAGACTGACTGAATTTAAAAAATTGACAAGATCTGACTGAAGACAATGACCAGCCATTGGCAAATCATGATACATGCTAGATATAGGTAATTAAGGCACTAAGTTGGAAGAACTAAGCTGAGCTTCCTGAAAAGGGAGACTTAAATATTTAAAGATATGATATCAGGAGATGAAGAAAGCCCATCACTAGAGATGGACCTCCATGTTATAAACATCTCTTCATCCAAAGTTTAATAAAACTTACTCTTTTTCTCCTTCTCTAGAGTTTCCCTCTCTTTGTGCTTATCAATTATCTCGCTTTCACACACTGCCTTTTCATCTTGAACCCGTCTCAGATCAATTGTAATGGCATCAATCTGGGGTTGAAGATTCACACAGTTTTCTGTGGTCCTCAGTTCATTTTGCAAATCTTCTATCATTTTGCGGGTATTACTTATTCTCCTCTGTCGGTCATGCTCTTCATTCTGTTTTACGATTAAAGCCTGCTGAAGTTCCTCAATCTAATAAAACAAAAGACAGTTAGTACTGGAGATTGTTTTTCTCCTGGTTTATAGGGCTTTTATAGTAATGTAATTTTTAAATGCATACAATCTAAGAACATAGGTGTTTTCCTTACTAAAAGGTATCCTGCTAGAATTAGACTGTTACTCTTACCAGGTTACTTGTATCTCTATTTTATTTATTAACTAATATATCCCAAGTCCCTAGAGCAGTGTTTATCATATAGTTAACACTCACTGAATATTTGCCGAAAACAAAATATTTATAAAGCCAATCAGATTTCTAAACATTTATAGGAAGTAAATGCATGCTTCATATCCTGACACAATTAGGTCACGTGGTATATGAAAGTTTCAATAAAGTAGTAATAATAGAATTGACGATTTTATCCTATTAATTTTAAGCTAAAATAACTATTTTCTTAGTTAAAAAAACCACACACTATCTCCTATTAACACTTCAAATTAATATTATGTGATTCTTAAACATTGACCTGTATGTTTAGATTTGTTAATTTATATTCAAGGTAAATTATGTTTTAAAAAACCCTTATCATGTAAGATGTCAGTGAAATTTTTGTCAAAACCAGACATAGTCTACCTAAGACAGAGTTCAGATTTTAAGACACACACAAATATACACTAATACAACCACTTTATTAAAAAATTTGAATTTTGTATAAAAAAATCTAGTATCTTAAATTAATACCTTTAAACATTTACATTTTAATACCTATTTATAGAACATACGTATTTCACTAAATGGCATCACTAAGATGCCATTGTTCTTAGATTGTATATGGAGAGCAATTTCTCATTTTGCGTATGTCCTTGCAAAATATAATTTTAATACCTGCATAATGTCCTGTTATACAGATGTGCCACATTTACCATTTTCTATTGTTAGAAATTTGGGTTGGTATTAGTTTCTTATTCCTAAAAATTTAGCTCTAAAAGTGTCAAGATAATGAACAAAGAAATATATGCCAAAATCTCCTCTTCTGTACCAAACACACAAGAGAAAAAATATTTGAAAAAATTAAGTTACATATCTGAAAATTAACAATGTTCAACATGCCCAGCTAAAAGAAGCAAGCAGACAAGAAGCTATCGAGTTAAGTCAGAAAGTCCATGCCATTCAGGAGAATAAAAATAGGCACGTCACAGAAAAGAGGAAAAGAATTAAGAATCACCAAACAAATAAAGAAGTCCAGGTCCATGAAAAACAAGAAATTTAAAATATAATCTTGTCCTCTAGCAAAATAGAGACATCCTGTGTACCAAAAAACCATTCAAGAAACTACCATGACTAATCCCATCAGACCTATGTTTAGCTCTGGCACAGTAAGTCCAAGCCTCCTAGATAAACAATCCTCTCGAGGACACCATTCCCATACTGCTATCTTCCCTTTCTATGAATGATCTCTCTTCTTATACTAACTGAAATTTGGCTATTCCTGAGATGCTTCTCCCTAGAGCCTTCTGAAGTAGGGACCTTTTCCTGCCATAATCCTTCAGAGGTGAGGAGAGTGTCCTGATTAATCTCCACTGTACTACTTCCTCCATTAACTGAGCCCCACTTCAATTCCGTTTAAGAACATGTGATCAGACATTACCACCATTATCTTTGTTGCCAGGTTAACTACTCCCTCAAAATTCTTCCTCACTCACTTCACTCATTGATGACTTTAGCACTCAACTCACTTAATATCTTCCTCTCCATCATTCTGCCTGTTATCATGAGCCTTCAACATACTTAGAGAATATTCAATCTAACTCGTCGGCCTCTGTGTTCCTTGACTTTTTCAACTTCACCCATCTTTTCCTAAAACCCTCTTCCCTCACCCTCCTGCTCTTACAGTAGTATTCTAGCTCAGGTAAATCCCCCCAAATTATACCACTTCTGAAAAGTCGACTTCCAAAATCCCACTCTTTGATCACCATTTCCTTTCCTTCCATTTTACTTATTGTAGTATTCCTATTCCAACTATCCTTTGACCCCACAGAATCCTGTAATCCATCGACCCTAGTACCTTTCTAAACATCCATCATCTCCTTTATTTCCTTCCTTAACTTGTTGAAGTTCCATGACCCACCACCATAACCACTCCCTTGCAAAGTCCTCTTAACCTCTTAACTAATCCAATGTCACACTAGCCAAGAGAAAACCTAGTTCTTTTTAAATCTAACTATATACCTTCTATATATCTGTATTTAAGCAATTGCACTAATTGGAGAAACACTCAAAATAAGGCCACACTTTAAATTTATGGCCATAAAGCTTAAATAAGCATTTCAAACAACGTACTGCATTTCTTTAACAAATGTAATTTGTTACATTCTGAGATGAGTTCACCTCTTTCCCTCCTTCCTCAGCCCTTTAGTGCTACAGACCCTCTTACTCACTCAGCTAATGTTCCTGTCTTACTCTCACTAACAGCATAGTAAAAATCAGAATACTCTGATCAAAGTGCTTTCCCTGTCTTCAAATCTATCACCCTTACCTCCAGCGGTACTCACTTTGCTTTATCATGTATGGGGAGTTCTTGAAGCTGCCTATATGTAATCCTCCAAGGCTACTCCAAGCAAGTGCTTCTTAAATTATTTATGGTGAAGAACCATTTATAAAAAAATTTCAAACCATCACAAGCCAACTTTTATTAATTACAACTACAATAAATTACTAACAAACATTTTGGGAAACAGTTTGGCAATTGCTTCAAAAATTAAATGTACACCTATGATAGTCTACTTCTAGATTATCCAAGAGAAGCAAAAACATATGCCCATAGATAAATGTATATGAAATATTCATGGAAGCTGTATTAGTAACATCCTCAAACCAAAAACAAAGTGCCCACTAACAGCAAATTGTGATCTTAAGAAAAATTAGAAGAAAAACATTAAACTGAACAAAAATAAAAATACAACATATCAGAATTTGTGGAACATTCTAAAACAGCAATGAGGGAAATCTATAGCATTAAGAGCATACACAAGGAAAGATGAAGCCTCAAATATATAATCTGCACTTCTATCCCATGAACCTAAAAACCCCAAAATATACCTACATTAAGCAGAGACAAAGAAATACTAAAGATATGAACACACTTCAATAAAACTGAAAAGGGAAATACAATAAAAAAGGCTGGTTCTTTGAAAAAAACAAGGGGATCTCTGCAGCCAACATATCCCTCCTGATTTTTATCTCCCACATGTGGGTGTGGGACCAGACTGTTCTGTGTCACCACTACTATCAGTCTCCCTGTGGCTTATTCTTTAGTTCCCTAGTTGTAGGACTTCCGTTCAGCCAGAATTCAGGTGGTTCTGAATGATGGTTTTTCTGTATTTTAGTTGTGATTTTGATATGGTTGTGGGAGAAGGTGAGTACCCTGTTTATCTACAGTGCTATCTTGACCAGAAGCCCCAAGGAAGCCTTGAAAGCCAGCAGCACACAAAATCATAGTGAAGTCAGCAGCCTAGCCGCCACTGGGGAGGTCAGAACAGGGTTAGAGCTCATGCTCAGAGAACTGTCATTATCTGATTTGTCTGGCAGTTCCATGGAAAATCCTTACACTCAAGACTTGTTTTTATTTGACCTGACTCCACAGCTTGCATACTGCCAAACAACTTTTTCCTAAAAGCATTTGTTGAAAACATTAAGTGATAATTGTTTAACACCATAGTTGCCTGATTCCTAAGAGTTGTGGCAAATAATAAGCTAGCCAAAATGTTTAAAAAGAAAATGCTAGAGCATGTGATGCCCACAGGAAGCTTTGGAAGTGACTGGGAATCTAGAAGGCCACTGTATGAGTAGAACTGTGTGCATGCCCAGGGCTGTTTGTATGCTTCCAGAAAGACCTAAGGAACCCTTAGCTTTGTAGAAAGAACTATCATTTTGGGGCTCTGTGCAAATAGAAAGTGAAGGCTAATACAGAGTTGTCAACTTGAACTGAAAATTAAGCAAAGTTTGCAACAATTATGGGGGCATTTACTAAAAAGCAAAAAAATCTGAATCTTGGTGAAAAGTAAAAATCCTGCCCGACTGACTGCTAAATGTAACCTTACATGTACCTGGGGATTCTCAAAGACTGGGTGACATACTGCTTCTCAACATTTAAGGAAATATTTGTCCAATCATTAGCTGACTGCTAAGCTAACTGAGCAGACAGTTTAGTAGCCATAGCTCAACAGCAGATGTGAACAGGAAAAACAAAGTATAAGATAGGTCAACTGAGATTATGTAGTCTGAAGAACAGGAAAAAAAAGAATGAAAAAGAAATAGAATGTAGGACAGAATCAAGTATAGCAAACTATGCCTAACAGTCTCAGAAGGAGAAAAGAGAATAAGGCAGAAAGAATATTTGAAACAATGACCAAAAGAACTCCTCAACTTTGATGAAAAACATTAATCTGCGCATCCAGTAAGCTCAATTAATTCCAAGCAGGAAAACTCACATCTAGAAACATACTAGTTAACCTTTGAAAGACAAAAACAGAGAATTTTGAAAGAAAAAAAATTACTCATCAAATATGAGATCCTCAATGATTAATAGCCGACTCATAATCAGAAACCATAAAGACCAAAAGGCAGTGGGATATTATATTCAAAGTGCTGAAAATCAAGAATTTATATCCAGCAAAACCATCTTTACAATATCCGCAGATAAACAAAACCTGAGAGAATTTGTCACTAGCAGACCTACACTACAGGAAATACTAAAGGAAGTCTTTGAGGCCAAAATGAAAGGACACTAGACAGTAACTTGAATCTATACAAAGAAATAAAGACTACCAGTATAGGTAACTTACACACAGGTAAACAAAAAAGGTATTTGTTGTTTGCAAATGTTTTTTTCTCCTATGTGATTTACAAAAGGCAACTACAGTGGTATAATAAAAATATACAAGGTCTGTCCAGAAGGTGTTCAGCAATATAATTAGAAAAACAGAGACATTTATTGAAGAAGGTGCAAGAAACACTGTGCACAGGACAAGGG